CAACAACAACAACAACACACCCGTCACTGACACAAGTTTACCCCCCCACACACCCTGGATTTTTCAATGTACCGACCGCATCGATCCGAGACGGGGCCGGCAGACACAAAACAACCCCGTCTCCGTCCTCCCACACGGCCACCGTATGCGCAGCAATGACTCCTCGGTCCGAGAAGACGGGACGCACCGCGACCGACCGGGCGAACGTCCGTCCACCGCAGTTCAGTCGGGACGGACGATGCCAGGGGCCCCTTAAACCATCCAAAACCTGGTTTCTCCCCAGCAAAAAATATCTGGTTTTTGTGTATGAAAACCTCTATTTTTCATGGTTTTGAGGGCCCCTGGTACAAACTATGAACCTTCCCACCTGTCCTTCTCCATCATTTGGTGTTCAACTTAGGGTTTTTCACGCCTGATCCACTGAAGGGGTCAGTCACACGTTCCCAAGGTGTGGCATCATCAATGGCAGTGGGTTGGTGATCAATGATCCGGCATGGCATCCCCAACCCAAACGGCTTGGAGTACTACATGACATGGAGTCTGTCCGGCACATGGAGCCTGTCCATGCGCCAGTCACCCGGCTAACCCTGAACTCTCGGGAACACCTCAAAAAGCGGCTGCGGAGCAGCTGCAAATGGCTGCAGCGAGCTTCAGCTCAGAGGGCGGCCTGCATCAATCAAGTGGCCCTGACTCCGCCGAAATGAAGGGAACGGGGCCTATGCCATCTCCCAGTGAAGCAGAATTTGGCCTGCTTGACCTGAAGTGAAGACGGAAGTCACATATATGCTGGTGTGTATTAGAAAAGGGAGATCCCTCAAAAAGCTCTGAGAAATCAAGAGCAAACGAAATCCATGGCTTGATACAGTATGGGTTGATATGGGTCCCCTCTTCAAATATCACACACCCCATGTGTATGTGCCCAGTTCATCCACTTCACCGGATGGGTCGTCTCAGTTTCGGCGTCGTCTTATCCTCTCATCGAGCCGCGGAGGCCGTGCTTCTCGGCCAAACGGTAGATCTTCGCCACCTTCGGGTGATCACCTGACGTGGGAGGACAAAGGATGGACCTGCCGAAGGGTGATGTAGTGGAGCGGTCCCTGACGTCCTTCATCACAGGTCCTTGCACGCTCTGTGAAGAACATGGCCATGTAACAAGTGGCTTCTGAATTAAGCAAACATCCATAAACAACTTATTAAGTGTGATGTTCTGTAGGATCCTTGATCATCCTTGACCTCCCTCCAGCCAATTCCTGATCCAAGTGCATGCTCTGTAAGATCCAGCCACATGCTTAAACAAACAAACACCCACACACACCCACACACGCACATGCTTGGACACCTCACCTGTGTCTCCCTTTCAGGTCCAGCGCCCGGCGCGCCTTTGGATTTCGCATCGTCCACCATCTTCTTCACTTGAGCGCGACCTGCGTTCGTCCAGAAATCACTCCAAACTCGAAACAAACAATAAGGTCATGGTCGGTTAAAACCACGGCAAGCTACCATTACCGAGATAGGTTTTTCTATAGACATTATACAATATCTTCCTCCCTAAAAAGTGGCAGCCAAACAACTAACTGTAGTTATAGAAGGAACACATAAAAACTCCTCCGGCACCTAAAACGCGAGCGTCACAGGTTCCATCGCCTTCTTGTAGGACCTCCAGCCAAATTTGGTCCCACTCTCGGTCCCAATCCGAGCGCCGTAAGGCCACGCCTCGGCAAGGCGCATGGAACTGATCCAAACACTGGCAATTTACATACAATTGGGGTGGTGGAAAAGGGGTGAATGTATATAAGTAAATCTGCCATGCATGGAGACTGATTCCTCTATAAAGACCATTGTCATCCACGGTCTCTCAAATGGACCACCCTGGCTACTCCATCATTTGAGCCTTCCAGGGGCGTCTGGGGTATCTGTTTGTTTCAAGGGTTGGGCGTTGGCAATGCATTCAGTAGGGGGGCGAATGTCACTGAAGTTGGGCAACACCTCTAGCGGGATTATAGCCGCTGATGTCAAACAAAACGCGGGATGCGGTTGACTTCTGTGAGGCAATGAAACCATCGCCTGAACGAGCTAGCTAGCAGCATCTGAGCATTCACTACATAGATTTAAAAGTGAGTTGTCCTCAAACATGTGCTGGAAATTGTGAGTGTCATTCTGCAATTTCCTCTTTTTGTGAGGGGGCTGACTCTGACAAGGCAAAAATACCGTCATGCGCTAGTCATCTTTTTGAAGAAGCACAAACACCGTGACTGCTGTTACAAAGGGCTCCAGGTACCGAACCGGCTGACCAGGGCCCTTTGGATCCCATAAATGGCCTGGAACTGCTCGTGCCCCGGTGGAACCCTCCGTGTAGGCCTCCACTTGAACTTCAAAGGTACAGGCCGGGTAGTGCCCCATCCTCCCGGTACACGCGGCCCGTTCGTTCCAGCCGGTCGCTCCGCGGCAGTTCGGTCCAGGAAGCTGATCACGGCCATCACAGACTCCAAGTCCTGCGGTTCGAAGGGCCATGCGGGGCCAGCGGCTGGTCACGAAATGACGCTTACAACATCTTTCTTCCCCAGACACTCCATGTATGTATGCCATAGGACCGCCGCCCCATTGACCCCTCAAACCACCCCAACTGATCGGCAGTCCTATGGCAGTCCCATGGGTCGTGTCTGGGTTCCATTCATGTTCTCCGTTCTACCTGTTCGAGCGGGGTTCTTCCCTTCGCCCCCAACCTCTCCGCTGGCTCTTGAGCCGGTCTACCTGAACCTTCCCCCAGGAGTCACAAGACCCTCGGGTGGCGTCTATAGTCCCATCCAGTGAGTGGAGTAGATGGGCACCCCCATCATCCCCGACTTCCTCCGTTCGGTTCCCCAGTCAACCGGTGACTGCGTCCACCATCACCGGTGGCTTCGCCCGACCGGAGCCGCGATGCCCGATCGCTCGGTTCGCGATGGCTCACCGCCTTGCCATCACCGCGGATCACGTCTAAGGACTGCTGTTGAAGACGCTTCGCCTGGACCGACGGATGACGGGCGGTGTACGACGGTGTGATACTGGGTGTGGTGGGTGCTTTGTCGTGGCGTCGCGTGGAACGGAAGGGACTCCCCTGCAGAGGTGCGCATGGAAGCCCCAAACTACTGGATTGGTATTCGGAAAATCGTCTTCCACGGGTCAGTTCTCAGGTTCTATGTTTATGTTGGGCAATGGCAGCCATACATGGCCAACCATCAAATATTAGTTTTTTTGTGAAAAAAAGTGAACTAGACGACGAGTGGCCCGAAAGCATTTTTCATCACGTAGGAAGTCAGAGTGTGAGTTATCTGTTAAGTGTTCAGTGTGAAGTGTTAAGTCGAGTGAGTTGAGGCAGTGTGTGGGTCTCTGTGTGTGTGTGTATCTACGTCTGTGTGTGTATGAGTCTCTGTCTGTGTGTGTCTCCGAGTAAGTTGAGGCAGTGCGTGGGTCTCTGTGTGTGTGTGCCAACCTCTCAAGAGAGCCGGGTGGTCGGGAGACATGACTCAGCTGCAGGGGCGCCAGAGCAGCTGCGAGAGATGACTCAGCCGCGAGAGATGACTCATCCGCGTACTAAAGTTGTACTGCAAAGTCGCCAGTTCTCAGCTTCCAGCTCCACAGATTGCTCCGCGTACTAAAGTTGTACTACAAAGT